CCTCCCTATGGCTGGCCCCGCCCCCAGCCGCGCCCGGCCCTCCCACCTTGCTGTGGCAGACGCTGAACACGCTGCTCTTGAGGATGCTGCACTGCTTCTCGGCCCAGGAGTGGCGGTGCGGGTTCTTCACGCAGGGCTCGGGGATGATGCTCACATCCGGGCAGGTGGAAGCTTCCTTCCAGCTGTTCCCGAAGTCCAGCTCACTGCTCACCACCATGTGGTCCCGCGTGGTGAAGTCATTGTTGGAGCGGTCGTCGAAGTTCCCGCAAAGGCCACACACGGTACCCTGCACCCGACAAGCATCCAGGGGGCTTGGAGAAGGGGCTGGGGAAGCAGCTCAGGGAGGGAGGGCAAGGGCTGTCCCCGCATGCACCTGGGCTGGCCATGGGAGAGTGGGACAGGGAAGGAGGCAGCCCACCTTGTAGGAGGGAGCCAGCTTGATGAAGATGGTGGTCTTCTTGTCCCAGATGACAATGATGCCAGTGCTGGCCTCGACCACCAGGTACTGGCCCACCTCCCGCGTGGTGTAGGCCACATGGTGGCCCACGTCGCGCTGGATCACGGTGCGGTGCTTGTCCTCCAGCTTCAGCTCCGTCCTCTGTCCAGAGGAGAGGCCTGTCACGGCTGTGTCCAAGACCCTCCAGGGCTTACTCACCCACCCCCAGGTGAGGAGCACTCACCCCCAGGAAGATCTTGATGGCCTTGGAGCAGGTGACCCCGGTGGTGCCACAAGGGACATTCTCGGTGATGATGCTAAACGTGCCTGAGGAGTTCTGGCCACAGTAGTCCTAGGGCCAACCGGGTGGTGTCATGTGTGTCCCAGGGTGCACTTACCCGGCAGGGGGAGGCCCAGGGCAGCCTGCTCAGTCGCCCCTCCTCTGTCCCCGCCCCTCCTGTGCTGCCTGGGGCTAATGATGCCACGGAAGGCGGCATGGCTGTTTGGGTTGGAAAAGCGCACGTGGGCAGCCGCCTGGCTCTGACTCACTCGGCCTATCTTAGCGCCCCACATACACACACCCCTCACTCCCCATGGCGTGTCTGCCAACCCCACACTCTCTTGTGCACCTGCGGGAGGCAGAGGGGGGCTCTACCATGCCCTCTTCTGCTACTAAAAGCCCAACTCCTCCTGAAGGCGTGGGGCCTGGGGCTGAGGTCTCAGAGCTTCCTGCAGGGCTGAGAGCTGCACTTGGGGTGGGCAGGGGGGAGGGGCAGGTGCTGGCAGCGCCCAGTCTCACCTGGACAGCTACATAGGAGCAGTGTCCATCGAAGTCATAGTACTTCCCGTCAAAGGTGATGTAGTGGCCGCTCCCGTAGATAGAGCAGGTGCCGTGGCACACGGACTGGGTGCAGGCCCACCGTCCATTCTGACACGTGCTGAGGGGCGTAGGAGAGGCGCCTGAAGGGACTGGGAGCTGTGGCCCCAGCCCCACCCAGACGGCAGCCCAGCCAAGACCCCGGGCACCCCGGGACAGCTCCTGGGGCAGCCCTGCACAACTTCCACAAGCAGCCGTGCCTGCCCTGCCAGTGCCATTTCCACACGCCCCCGTCCCCCCGCTCAAGGGCCAGAGGCAGACACACTGCGGGCATGCTGCAGGCCCTGCAGAACCAGCAGCTCCCGCGGGAGAGCCACAGGGCCCGCCGGCTCACCAGGTGTTGCAGTCCACCTTGATCTTGGCACCAGGGGAGTACAGGTCCTTGTTGTGGACACACGGACACTCCTTCTCCACCACGCAGCCACCTCTGCCATCGTCAATCAGCCCGTCGGGGCACACGCAGCCACTCACACACTCTGTGTGGTACTGGGGATGGGCAGAGGGGGACGGCTCAGGGGGACAGACAAGTGAGGCCGCAGCCCTCGCCGGGAGGCAAGCTTAATGCCCTGCCGTGGGAGTTCTGAGAGCAGACTCCCTCGTGTCCTGAACCCGGCTCCTCTCCCCAGCCCTGCTCCATTCTCCCTCCCCTGTGGTCCACCACTGGTCCTGGGGACCCACAAGATGCCACTTCCCTCCCGGGGTACAGGGTCAGCAAGCCCCATGTGTTGTCCTCAGGATGGGGCACCCAGCCCCCAGCCTGAGCAGG